GGGCAATGAAATTGTTTTCCCATGTTGAAAAATCAGATAAAGTTTTTACTCTACACACAATTATACTTGTATCTACCCGCTGTCACTGATTCGAACTCAAAAGCCTTATATGGCTATAAAAGAACGATACAATTCTACATGCGTCAGCTCAGCCCTCAGACAGCGGTGATGCTCATGAAATGTCAATCAAACACACGTGCTCTCTGGCCAATCGTTTAGCTTTAGAGTGAACAATGTTCCTTTTATATCTATAGACCAATAACAGGGAATAATAGAGTAAGTGTTTCGAAACTTCCCTCGCCAACAGCATTAACTTTCCCTAACGAAAAAATACCTTAGAAAGAGAGTTCATTCCTTCCCAAAGCTTTAATAGCTTAGCACTTAGTAAGAAAATCATGTTGGGTGTTTCCCATCTCTTGATTATCGTTGCTTCACTGTACAAGGTTGTGCATGCCAACGAAGATCAAGGAAATGCTTCAGCATCTAGCTGCAAGGTCAGTTCAAAAACATTTTTCCTACAAAAAATGTCATCCGTTCAACAAAGTACTCCATTCTCTAATTAAGATGTTCGAACAATTTAATCAGGTAGTCGCTATTTGATATTGAGAGGCATTCTCAGGTAACAATTGTTTTTCATAACAAGTTAAATTACAATGATAATGATGAATTGGGGAAATTACATACTCGTAATTAACTTCTAGACCCCAGCTTTACAACTATATTTACATTCTGTCTTAAATTTTTAAGATCTGATCTGTAATTCTCCTACTGTGCTTTTCCTTGTAGATAATCTAAGAGAATTTAGATTTTAATCAACATAAAACGCTATAGTCGGCAAGTTTGTCTATTTTAATCTCTCGCCAAAATGTGCTTTCTGAGACACATGACACGATTTATGAGGGTACGAAGGCTCCGTTTACATTGGACTGAATCATTGAGTGCGGAAAAGTAAGTAGTGGTCCTAGATAGTTTAAAGAAGATGAATTTGTAACATGAATTTAGTTTATCAACAAGATCTTTTTTTTTTCTCTCTCTATTTCTATTTTCTTGTTCGACGTATTCTGTAAAAGTCACGCTTAAGCTTTCTTTAGTTTTTCGAGGATGCCCGAGCTGGAACGATGAAAATATCCTATATTGTATTTTTTTATTTCAACAGTCATGTCACCCCTGCCAGATGGTTGGTTTTCCCGGATCAAATGGCGTTCCAGGGGTGCCGGGAAACCCAGGTTTTCCTGGTAGGGATGGCACTAAAGGAGAGAAAGGCAGCCCTGGAAAGCGGGGCGCCAGAGGAGTAGCAGGGATTCCTGGGAAACTTGGTCCAAGAGGCCCTGAGGGTCCTAGAGGGCAGATGGGAGAGAAAGGAGTCAATGGTACGGGAAACCCTGGGAACCATGGCCCTAGCGGCTCTAAGGGAATAAAGGGGAAGAAAGGAGATGCGGCAAATATTGATCCCAGACAGCTGGCTAACTGGAAACAGTGCGTATGGAAGTCAGAAACGAATACGGACAGCGGCAAAATAAAGGTTTTGATTATTTTTTAAGTATTGAAACCCCTTGGATAAAAGTTAGGAATTGAAAAAGTTCACAAAGTTCACCAAGAAGGATATCAGTTGCCTCCTTGACGACACCCTTTAGAAACTAATTAATGAGATTTGGAAATGAAAGTCGCTCTCTTGACTGATAAAAAAGTTCAGTGAGGGAGCTTAAATCCCAGAGAAGATGATTTAATTGAGAAGTGTATTAGTTGCCTCCTAAGAAAAGGCGTAAGTCGCATCTCTTTATATTGACGTTGATCAACTTGGACCAAACTTCTCCAGGAAACGTAACCAACTTGCGAATAAACAACCAACGAAACTTTACTGAGTATAACGGCATTCAACCCCACCCCACCCCGCCCATTCTGCTAACCTGAACAATTCATTTAAAACGTACTTATTTATTTATTCGTAGCAATATTTATGCAGGCTGGCCCAGGTCAGCTTCAAGCTGGTTTGAATTAATACTACATCTCGTCCCCTCCTCTAATTGTTTTTAGGGACTTGGTTGTTTTCACTGAGCACAACCTTTCGATACCCAAATAAAGTCTCAATAGTGGTGTGCATTTAAATTTGAAATGGTGTGCATTTAAATTTGAAATGATATTGTTGAGATTCTTCTGTACACCTCTCTAATACAAACAAAAAATGTTGACCCACACTTGTTAAAATGTTCGCCCCTAATAGCGTAATCTTTGAAGTGTTGAGGTAGAACCCGCCTGCAAGTTGCAAACAAAGTTGAAAAAAAGGGTAAAGAGCGGCGCGAACGAGGAGACTAGTCCCTGCAACCAGTCCCCTTAAGAGTTTACACGAAGGGACTGGTCGAAGGGGCTAGACCCTAGTAGTGTTTACACGCGGGGACCAATTGCATAGGAAAGTAGCAAAAACTAGGGGCAAACAGTATCATTCTTTCACCCTGCAGCTTTCATAAGAAAGCAAAGTTATTAAAATAGCAAAGTAGCATTGAAATAAATCAGCTCAGTACAAACTACAGATTGTTCAGCGAAATTATTCAGTGCTTGAATTGCTTCTGATTCAGTTCGGATATAAGCGGAAAATAACGCTTTGTTACCGATCAGATGTGGCCAATACAGAAGCAAAAAGGGGCGAAAATTCGATCAAGATTTTCAGTACCCATGTAAATTATTTCAAAACTGGTTAAATCCCGGGGGGGAATCATCAAAGTAATTATCCCGGAAGTCCCGCAGTCGCTTTTGTACATTGCGATACCGATCTGTGATAAGTTTATTTTAATTTGGTCGCAAGGACTTGTCCCACAATCCGTTCACACGAAGCGTTTTGAGAAACAAGTCGCAGGGACTTGTCCCCAAAATTCAAACCAGTTTGAATTCCCTGCGACTAGATTTTGTGGTAAAAACCGCTAGTTCCCGCGGTGGGACTTATCCGCGCAACTTGTTGCGGGGACTAGTCGCAGGGATTAGTCCCCTCGTGTGTGCTGATCTTGAGCCTGACATCTTTATGTCAGCCGAGTATTTCAACTTCCGTTAGCCGATTAACACTCCTCCGCTTTGCCTCTACCTTCCCACCCCCTCCCATCCTAATACTATTTCCCTTTACACCACCCGGGTAATGGTCCATTCGTTAATGATAATTTTATGGCAAGGAGAAAGAACAGAGTGTTGAGGAGGTAACCCGGGAAACTGGAACAAAATTAATAAAGAAGAAAAATATCGTACCCGCACGTCACCTTTGACCACCATGTAACATCTCACTCCCAAGAGCGACTAAAGAAGAATTGAGCCTTTCATTATCAACATGTTCTAGAGCAAAAAGGTGATGACAGGAAAGAAGAATGTTTAATTTAACCTAATTCCGCTGGATCGATCTGAGAGCCGTTCCGTTTTACCACCCATTCTGGCCAAATCGCTTTGTTGGTGTCGAGTTCTTGGGTTCGGTAATATTACAATAGAGAGTTATATTCATGGATGCAGAGCTCTAGTCAATCACAAGTCTTTATTCAACTTAACTATTATTACGTAGGAATCATGCCTAAATGTGGATACGGGCATCACGTGATTACATTACAGATTAACAGATCACATATGTACAGTATGTACATATATAGCATAACAATATCAATTAGCTAGGGTAAATGATTATCAAAAAACTTTACAGTAGGTACGCGTGATCCTTTTGCCCTTACTATGGGATTCAAATATCAAAGCGCATCTGACCGAATAAAAGACCATCCAGGGGATCGTTAGGAAAGTTGTTACGTTTGTCCTATTGTCAAACAACACCGTCTGGGGAGTCGTGTGTGTAATTTGAGTCCCGTAGTGGGGGCAAAAGGATACGGCTACCTTCAAAGCGATTTAGCTAGAATGGGTGGTAAAACGGAGCGGCTCTCAGATCGATGCAGTGGAATTTGGAAACTTTTGCCGCTGGAAAGGGTATTATAATAGCTAAGCGCTCTCGGGGGTGGAAATTTGAGGGAGATCAGTCGCCTTTTGTGCAATTTATCGGCCATCGAGGGGCGACGCTTAGTGATCGGGACCGGTTGAAGTTTCCAGCCTTGAGTTTTTTTTAAACATAGTTGACCGGTAACAACACACACGTTACAAAGAAAGTCGCGAAAACAGCGTTAAAAGGACCGTAAACGAAAAAGCAGCTACGGAAAAAAGGAAATGTGACTTCATAAGATACATTCCTCGCTTTTATTTTCCTTTTTAATTTTTTCTTAATTTTTTCATAATTTTTCCTTTTATACAGTTTACTGGTGACACCGCACGCTTTACAAAGAGAGTCGCCAAAACAGCGTTAAAACGACCGTTGGAAATAAAGCGGGTACGAAAAAAAGGTAAGGAGACTGCACATGTTTTCATCCTCGCTTTTATTATCCTTTTGATCTTTTCCTTTTTTTTTTTATAATTTTTCCTTTTATTAACGGCCCACACGCACGCTTGAAATTCGATCTTAATCTGTTAGTTCTTGCCGTTAATGAACTTTACACCCAAAGTCACACACCAGACTGAAACCTGGATCACACACAGAACGCTTGGGCTCCCAGTGGAATCAAACTTTAGTTCGTCTGTTCCCATTGCGCAAATACACGTGATATGTTAACCATGTACACATGAACAATAACCAATCGCTATCGTTTTAAAATGGAGTGATGTTCCTGTTGTGTAGAGAAAAACTGAGGCCAATCTGTGTTATATGCAAAGAAAGGAGCTATGTACGTTCAAAGGTTTTGTTTGCTGGAGCATTGAAGATCCAACAACTTTATTATCAACAACAATCAGAATAACGCAGCCATGCAGGGTGTCTCTTTGTTGGTTCCTATCATTGTCAGTTCTCTTATGTATCAATTAACAAATGGCAACGAACTTCAAAGGAATGTTTCATCATCACAATGCAAGATAAGCACTGGTTGTTGACTTTGTCAGCCGAGTTATTGTTCAATTATTTTGATAGTTCTACTTGGCAATGACGAGCACCGTATTTCACCGTTAAATAGCACGAGTGAAGTGCATCAGAGGATAACACAAAGAAACTTTTTAACCAATAACGCAGTTTAGCGCACTGAAATACGGGAAAGCGGAAGAAAAAGTTTCATACGGTAAAGTTAACGATTGCTAGAAACTTCCGGTATGGGCAGATTCCACCGATACCCAGAGCAGACTTCGAATATTTCTCAGTTTTTGTTTCGTCCTTGCGCCAAATGAAAGCCACACACATCTATGTTTCCTTTTAGAACAAAAAGCTACACTGGACTATGTTCTAACGTGATAATTTATATGTTGCCAATATAACATTTTTCTATGATCTAACGTGACAACTCTTTGATCGCAATGTTTCACATGTGCCAAGTAAGTAAATCTGACAAGTCGAAATGCCATGCAGGCCGATCATCATCTGCTCATCAATAAAAAAACAGAAAGCTTAAGAGAAAAACGAATTCAATATGTGGCTTAAAAAAATTATTTTCTTATCTGATGACAGCCATGCTCATCATGTGGAATGCCAGGACTGCCGGGAATGCCGGGAATGCCCGGATCGAATGGAATACCAGGGACCCCAGGAGTGC